TCCATAGGACCCTGATTTGATTCTCAGAAACTAAATGGCAGCTTTCAACTATCTCTAACTCTAGTACTAGGGAATGTGATACCTTCTGAATCCTACAGATATTACATAGACATAACACAGACAAACAGATGGTCAAAACACGCATACATATAAAATAAAATTTTGTAATTAAAAAATCTCCAGGATTGCAAGGCATGGTAACATGTGCCTTTAATCTCTGCACTCTGGAGGTACAGGCATGATGATCTTGGGGAGATCAAGGCCAGGTTGGTCTATAGAACAAATACCAAGACACCCAGTGTTACACAAAGACACCCTGTCTCAAAAATAGTAATTGCCAAAGGCATACAGAAATTCGTTTTGACTACTGAAGGAAAATGGGAACGTATTTACTCTGTCTTAGTTAGGGTTTCTATTGCTGTAAAGAGACACCATGATCACCACAACTCTTACAATGAAAAAACATTTAACTGGGTAGCTTACAGTTTCAGAGATTTAGTCAATTATCACCATGGCAAGACTTGGCACCATGCAAGCACACATGGTATTGGGGAATAAACAGAGAGTAGGGGAGTTACATCTTGACTTGTAGGCAATAGGAAGTGGTCTGAGTGTCACACTGAGCTAAGCCTGAGCAAAACAGACCTCAAATCCTACCCCCACATTGACACCCTTTCTCCAACAAGGCCACAATTTCTAGTAGTGCCACTTCCTTTGGGGGCCATTTTCTTTCAAACCACCACATACTCCAAACACTAAAATAATATGCCTGCCCTTCACTGCCAGTAGACTTTCATTGAGGGAAAGGACACCTGGGACCAACCCTCCCTAATCCATAATGAAATGATAACTGTGCAATCTAGCATTGTTGCTTGTTCCAAGAACTTTTTGAACATCAATTTCAACTTGGAATTATCCACTACCAACTGTAAAAGGATACTCTTTCACTAAGGTTGAGAGTATTACAAATTGATATGTATACTCATGAATATTTGGTTTGGCCACATAACAAACATAAACATTAAAACATCAATAGGTTCTGATCTTGGACCTGTATTACCACACCATGGTTTTTGACCATGTTTACAGTATCAGACAAGAATTTCCTTCTATGGAGCTTGTGTCAAACATATCAAGAGACAGTATCATTATGCCCATTAGCATTTGTACCAGTATTGCACCATTACACACATCTTGACTAGTAGGTTAGTATTGCTGATGAATGGTCCACGAGTAAGACCATTGACACCTTTTGTCTGTCAGTAGCCCACACAGGACCTTTCAGTACTACAATAGCTAGCCAGCAGGGAAAGTTCCCTGGTAAGTTCAATACTCTTCTTTCTCTATCTTGCAACCAAAGAGTTTGCTGTCCAGCAACACCATGTACTTATCATGGCCAAGCAAGAGCACTGTTAATGGCTTGTTTTGTTTAGAATTCCTCTGAGGCTTCACCTGGCCAGTAATTATTCAGCAGATAACCAATCCATTTAATGATCCCAGTACCTAGGAGCAGCCTTATAGATCCCTGTGGAATGTATCTGATATATATGATATGCAATCCTGAAGGATCATGACACTAGATTGAGTGCCAATACAAAAATGGAGGTGAAATACTTCATTCTGCAGAAATTATCCCGAAACATAGAAATAGAAAACTTAATACTTCAGGAAGTCACGGAAACTGGAAAGATTCACTAGTGCCCTCCCCCTCAAACATATATAATCTCTAAGAACTGCTGACACTGACAGATAGCTGAACTGCACAGAAGGTGCTCAGACCATCCAACAGGCAGACAATAGTCAAGTTGCCTGGACCAGACAAGACAAACTGCCTGGAGGATGTACTTCGTGGTTTGAAAGACACTCCCAATCTCCCTTAAAATCCCGCCAGCTGTGCAGTGATCCCAAGATTTCCAGCTTCATTAGCCATCACCCCCACAGTATGATGCACCTTTCATTGAGTCGTTTAAGCATCTATAAGTAACTCCTCACCCCCACAATTGTAGGTCACCCCAATAAGACTCACTGGTTCACTAGATTTAAGGTTGACTCAGTGGTTAAGAGCACCATCCACTCTTTCAGAAGACTCAATTTGAATTCCCAGCACCCTCACATGGGCACTCAATATGTAACCTCAATTCCTAGGCATTCAGTGCCCACTTCTGGGTCTGCTAGCACTAGGAACACACATGGTGCACAGACAAAACATCCCTTAAAAAAAAACCCAACATTGTTATTGGTTCACCAAGTTAGACTTTGTTGCAGAGAAGCTAGGTAACAAGGAAGACCCTAAGAGGAACACATGGATCGCACAGGGAAGGGAAATTAGATAAGATTTCCTGAGCAAACTGGAGATGGGGCATCAGCACAGGGGAGGAGATGGGAGATGAGAACATGAAATTACAGGATTGTCAAGTGGGGAGAGCAACTGTGTGGGAGAGAAATGAAAGAGAGATCTTAATAGAGCCACTATGCAGTCAGGGAAAAACTGGTGCTAGGGAAATTCCCCCAAATCCATAACAATGGCCCCATCTAAGACTCCTAGCAATAGTGAAAAGGGAGCCCAAACTGACCTTCCCCTGTATTCAGATTGGTGAATACCCCAACCATCATCATAGAGTGTTCATCCAGCAACTGATGGAACCACATGCAGAGATCCATAACCAAGCACCAGGCCAAGCTCCAGGAATCCAGTCGAATAGAGGGACAAGGGAATATATGAGCAAGGGAGGTCAAGATCATGATGGAGAAATATATGGAGACAGCTGAACCAAGCTTGTGGAAACTTAGGAACTCTAAACTGACAGCTGTGGTGCCTCCATGGGACTGAATTAGGCTCTCCATACATGGGGGACAGTGATGAAGCATAGGTTGTCTGTGAGGAACCTGGCAGACCAGAATCTATGTCTGGTGTATGAGCTGTCCTTTTGTTGCCCACTCCCTATGGTGGGGTGCCATGCTCAGCCTTGATGCACTGGGTAGGAGAGGAGCCTTGTCTTAGTCTTTCTTCAACTTGTGCCAGACTTTGTTGACTTCCCACAAGAGTCCTGACCCACTGGGAGGAATGAAAGGAGGTTGAGCTGCAGGAGAGGCGAGAGGAGTCATAGGAAGGATGAGGAGGACTGTGAGTGAAATAAATTTTAGGGGCTGGAGAGATGGCTCAGAAGTTAAGAGCACTGTTCTTCCAGGGGTCCTGAGTTCAATTCCCAGCAACCACATGGTGACTCACAACCAACTGTAATGAGATCTGGTGCCCTCTTCTGGCATGGAGGTGTACAGGCAGGAGGAACACTGTATACAGAAAAAATAAATAAATCTTAAAGAAAATAAAGAAGTTAAATTTCATTTTAAAAAAAGAAATAAATTTTAAAAAGACAACCCTATGACAAGATTGACAGGATTCTATGAAAACTTCAAAGAAGAACTAACAGCAAAGCTACTTAAAATGCTTCTTGAAACAAAAAATTAAGATTTCCCAGTGCTTAGTATTCCCCGATGTTAAACCAGATAATGATACAACCAAAAAGAAATTACAGACCGATATGGACATTTTAAAAAATTATCATTATGATGACAGAAGTTACAAAATAATCGCACATTAGTTCAGACTTACATATAATAAAGGGTTATTTATTTAGGGGAGACTCACAGATCACTGTCCTAGATCACAGTCCTCTCCCCCCATAAGGCACCAGAACCAAATCAAGCGGCCGGAAGTGAGAACTGAAAGCAGCAAGAGAGCAAGCTTTACAGTTGCATTTATAGAATAAGAGGCCACGCCCAAGTGGGCCAGTATCTTAAAGGCTATTGGCCAAAGGAGTTCCTACAGCATCATTCGCTATTTCACAAACACATATACAGTGTGTGTCTCTATGTCGTGTGTGCCAAAAAATACTTTCATTTCCTACTTCTCAATTACCCTGGTCCAAAATTCCACTAAATCTCCCTATGGTGTTCATGTTCACTCATTTTGCTTTGGAACCTGCTGAGATTGACCAGAGCCATCTGTTAAGAATGTGGGTTTGGAGCTATGTGCTGGAGCCTACTGGGCTCAGCAGAGAACTACAGCTCAAGGCAATTGTTATTTTCCTACCATCCATCCACATCCAACATTTGAGAGGTAAAAGGTGGACCCTGTGAGACTTTCCCTTTGCTAGACTGATTATGGTCTAAATGTAAAGTCAATGCAGGTAAGTACAGTTCCTGTTGGTTACTGATTACAGCAGCTGTATGGAGTCTAGAGAATGGCATGTCTTAGCCCTCCCTCCTCTTTCCCTTCTTATTCCTTTTCCGGTCATCTTCTGCAATGTTCCCAGAGCCATGAATGGTGTAACTAAGGTTTTTAAAACCTTATAAACCACATACCTTATTTATTTCTTGCATCTACAACAGCCAAGAATCTAGACATTCACCACTGCATTTAAAGAAAAAAGATATGTTTTATCCAAAAGGACCTTAAGCATGTGTCACGGAAATGAAAGGATCAACATCTAGTTGCGAAAACAGTTCAGAACTCATCCCTGGGCTGTTTGCAGTGAACTATCCAAACTTCTTTAAAATCCACGTTTCTGAATGTCTTCCCCCAAAGCACTATTGTAGTATTTGAATTTTACTTGTCATGTCTGTTTGGTTGGGACTCTGGCTTCTGAATTTTTCCAGTTATCATTTGGTCTTAAGTATGTAGCCAAGGAGGCTTGTAGTCAGGTAGAGGTTAGCCTGCCTGTCTTTTAACTAAAATGCTCAGACTCTCTGTGGGGCAGGTGCAGCGTCCTCCTAGATCACTTCTGGTCTAGGCTGGCAGCAAGCATGTGAGGAGGCTGTGCAGAGCGGGTCCAGGGCAGCCTGACAGCAGGAGCTGGGTGGAAGGCAGCCTGTGACAGAGAGGGAGGGGCGGTTCGTTGGGGAGGAGATACTAACCCGGAAACAGAGCTTGGAACGATGTGGCACATTGGCTGGACGTAAAGGAAGAACGGAGAAGGGGAGGGGTTAGAGTAGTGACGTAAGCGGAAGCTGGGCAATCTTGTTGGTGAGGTGATTAAAATCGATTGAGGAGCCAAAGGCAGAAGTGCTGAATGCCCTTTTTTCTCTCGTTGCCCCTGAACCTGAATGGTGGAGAACCGCGTGGTGCAGACCTGGGTACGGGGTGTCGCGGGGACGCGAAAACTCCCCAGAGCCGCAATCGCCGGGTTGCCTGGGAAAGTCAGCAGCGCAGTGGCGGGAACCGCTGCCAGGCGGCCCTGGAACCTCCCAGGTCAGAGGAGCTGAGGGGCTGGGACCCAGGAGGGAAGGGACCAGGGATGCGAGCTGTTTCCCTGATGTTCATAAGGAAGCCGGCTCTGAAATTCTGCTTTGAATGTCTTTGCCTTCTTGTATTTTAGTCATATGAAATAAGCCTGGTTTTTTTCAATTGAACTTCTTATTGCCAAAATACTTTTATAAAACTAATATAGTAGAATATTTGAATTTATCTGTTGATATTTGCAAACACAGTTCTTTTTGCTATGATGGAAAGGAAAAGCTCTTCAAATTTACACTCATCCAGGCTAACTTTCGTATTATACCTAGGGAGTTGGGGGTTTATTATCCCAGGGAAGAGTTTAAATATTAGTCATGAAAGGAATGGCTGCAGATTTAATCAAATAAAAATTTATTTTTTGCTTTTTTTGGTTTTTGGTTTTTTGACACAGTGTTTCTCGTTGTAGCTTTGGAGAGTGCCCTGGAACTTGCTCTGTAGACCAGGCTGGCCTCGAACTCACAGAGATCCTCATGCTTCTGCCTCCTGAGTGCTGGGATTAAAGGTGTGCTGCACCAACCACCGCCTGACTATTTATTTATTTATTTGTTTGTTTGTTTGTTCATTTGAGAGTTTTACATGTATGGCTGTAAACATTAACATTTAAAAATAAATTTTTCACACTTTATTATTTTTCCATCTGAGACATACGCTCTCTGTGGTGTAAATACACCACTCAGAAAAGAATCTTCGTCAGATCTTGTGGCACAGGCCTTGAATTCCAGTGTTTCATTGGCACATTCAGAGGCAGGTGAATCTCCTTGTGTTGGAAACCAGCATAGTGATTTTCAGGACACCCACAACTACATGGTGAGAGACTCTGTCTCAAACAAAGAAAAAAACAACAATAAAAGATTAGAAGGAAAGAAAAGGATGGAAGAGAAAGAAAACGTGTCCTCTTGTGCTCATTTCTTAGTGTTGTACCTTGGAGTCTGGAAAGTACAGTATGCTGTTTGAGATGTCTGCTCACGGTCTTTCCAGTGAAAAGGCATTATGAGCTAGGTGGTGCTGGCACACGCCTTCAATCCTAGCACATGGAGGCAGAGACAGATGGGTCTCTGAGTTTGAAGCCAGCTTGATCTACAGTGACTTTCAGGACATCTAGGGTTAATGATTGACCATCCTGACTCCATCTTAAGGATAGAAGCCATTTGTTATAAGGTCAAAACAAGTTCAATTCAGTTTGTTTTATTTTGTTTTTTGTTTTGTTTTTTGAGTCAGGTTTTCTCAGTGTAGCTTTGGCTGTCCTGGAACTTGCTCCGTAGACCAGACTAGCCTCAAACTCGGAGATCCACCTGCTCCTGCCTCCTGAGTGCTGGGATTAAATACCACCTTTGGCTTTGTAGTTCGTTTCTGTTTGCTGCCAAATTCAAGTTGACCATACTTTAAGCTGTTTCTGGAATTTCATATGATCCCCACCCTGAGTTTGACGTATAGCTGCAAGATACCCTGATAAAATGTTCTATCAAATAATTATAAAATGTTTTGCTAAGTTCCTACTTAGCAAAAATTCCACCAACCTTTGGAAACCCTCTCACCCTATAGTTTTGGGTAATGTATAAGCCCCACTTTCTCCTGCGTTCAAAAGAAGAAAAGACTTTATACTATAGAATATTAGAAATCATATTTTAATAATTATGATAACTCATTTACATCTGAAAAATATCTACAATAGTCTTGACTCCTTGGTCTAAGAAAAGCACTCTGACCATGGACACATGACAACTATTAGCTCTTGGTTCTTACGTTTGCTTTGTTTGAGACCCAAAATACCTGTGATGCTTTGGCCCAGAACTCCCTGTAGACCAAACTGGGTTGGGAAACAGAGTTCCACCCACCTGTTTCTCCCAAATTCTAGAACTAAAAGTGTGCACTAACAGGAAGATTCAAACTGTTGTTTTTACTTTGTGCTCTATTGTCAGCCAGGGGTGTGACTGTGGACTTCTCCCAGGAGGAAGGACAATGCCACAATGCCTAGGCCCGGCCCTGACTTTGTGCAGGGACTGGATGTTGCAGAATTACAGCAGTCTGGTTTCTGTGGGTGAGAATAGTTTGCTTGCAGTCTCCTTTGCTCCTTAGAGTTCCTAGCAAAACTAATCTGCGTGTGTGTGACTTGTGTGTTTATAGAATCTCACACTTCACAGAGTAAAGTGAAATCCTCAGAGGAACAAAGAGAAATTTTCATAAAATGTTCTCTCTTGTTTTGAGTATTTTTTGGAGGTATAAGGCTGCCAGCATTTTTAGTCCATGATAACAGAACCTCCCTAGGGTATGATTCTCATTCCAGTCATTCACTTACATTACCGCCTCTGAGATTTGACTGAGCTGTGATTGGAAGTGGGATTCAAGTAACAATAACTAACAATGTTTTCTAAATATTTTCAGTATTCTGACACTGCATGACAATTGAAAAATTGTTTTATAATCCTCTATTTTGTTTCCTCTTCATGTACTGAGCACAGTACTGTGTTAGAAGTCCAGCTACTTTCTGAAGAATCTCTTTCTCATGTGCAGTGCTCCAAGATGGAGAGGGAGGAGTCAGTGGCTAAGGATGCAGGTATTTGGAGGAATTGGGGAAGGAGTAGAAAAAGATGAAGTGAATGTGGAAGTGGGATAGGAAATCAGTTTTGCTATGAGCACCTTGCTGCATGTATGACTCTATATCATGTGCATTCTAGAACTGTGTATATGGACTGATGGGAGCCACCCTCTGGAGCCTGGGCATGGAACCTGGATCTCTAAAGCAGTAACAGACGTTCATACCCATTGAACCATCTATCTAGCCCTATTAAGTTTTATTTATGTGAGTATCAATAGTAGAAAATGGTATAAGGCCCTTATAGAAATTTTTATGTAGATAATTTAAAATCTTGACTTTACATAAGCATTTACTATTTCTTTTTTTTATTTTTTTAAATTTATTTTTTTTTTAAAGATTTACTTATTTATTATGTGTGCAACATTCTGCTTCCCTGTATGCTCACACACCAGAAGAGGGCGCCAGATCTCATTACAAATGGCTGTGAGCCTTCATGTGGTTGCTGGGAATTGAACTCAGGACCTCTGGAAGAGCAGTCAGTGCTCTTAACCTCTGAACCATCTCTCCAGCCCCCTGCATTTACTATTTCTTAGTAACTTTTTTTTCATTGTTTTTAAAATACAGCCTGCTTAGTCTGTATGTTTTCAGAGATGAACTTTTGGTATTGGATGCACTCTTCTCTGGGGAAGACTATTTCTCCAGCTCTCAGAATTCCTTTGTGTTTGACTAGAATTGAGGCCTAGTGAGCTTTTTCTTTCCATGTTAGCATGTCTATTGGTGTTGTCCTCGTTCAGCTCATGTTTAGTCAGCCATGTTTGTATGATTTCATGCCTGTAGGTTCTCCAACATTTCTAGGAGTCACAATCTCTCAGCGAATGTCTTATTCCTCTGGCTCTTAAAATGTTCCCTCTCCTCTTTCTCAGTGATCCCTGATCCTGAGGTGCAAAAATTGTGTTGCTTATGTGTCACTGGGAACTGAGCATCACAAGTCTGCATTTTGACTGGTTGTGGTTTCCTGTAATAATCTCCATGTCTTCAAAAAGAACATTCCATGGTTAGGGGTGGGGACAACATTTATCTATGTGAATAAGTAAAATTTTTAGAATTCAGTTAGCGATTATGCTAATTTAATGAAGTCGGTCTCCTCCACAATCCCTGACTTCACTAGCCCTGAGGAAACTGGCCAGTTTTCCAGTACCAGGCATGATTTCCCTCCTGTCGAGAGGGTCTTCAGTCCAATTAGAAGCTGTGGTCACCACCAAGGTTTGTGTGCCACTCTTGCTCCCTTAGCACTAGCATGCAATGTAGATCAGTGTGTGGTTCATAGGTGTCATAGCTGGGTAGGAATGTTCGGTGACTCCCTCCTTTGGAAGGCTGCATGTTGCCTTCTGGTACCATGAAAGCTGATCCGCATGGAGTAGGCTTTAAGGTCATAACTTTCTCAAGTCCTCTGGGGTCTGTAGGCAAAGTGCATGGCTTCACAATAGGAACTCACCTTCTATGTCTAGGAAGAAAGCATGGACAACAGCAGTAGCTGGTTAGGTAATCTCAAGGATAGCTGTGACCAACAACTTTAAAGCAGGTTTCTTATACTTGGAGCTGGTGGTTTTGTTAGACTATTTGTCGTTCTTGTGCTTTATCAGCACAGATGAGAATGTTTCATTTATACTCTAACTATAACTGGATACACAGACTTATATGTTATAGGCATTTTTGGTAGATGGTAATAGTAAGATTCCTTATGACGTTTTCAGACATACTTATACTTACTCTTATTTTACCCTCCTTTTCTGTTTATTTCTGTTCTTTCTCCATAATTAAATCCCTTTTCATTTTTCTATTTCCCCCTTCAGATCACGTGTTCCTAGTTATTCCCCTCTCTTTTACTCCCCCACACCCCACGGTGGTCTATTTTTGCTCTTTTGGTTACTGCAGTCACTCCAGATTGTGGATTGACGTCTAAAGATTTGGAGCTAGGAACTGTCTCTGAGAGAGAACAACCATTGTCTCTCTTTCTGTGTCTGGGTTATCAAACTCAGTATGATCTTTTCTAGGTCTATCCATTTACTTGCAAAGTTCATGAGTTCAATTTTCTTTACAGCTAATATTTTATGGTATATATGTTTTATATTTCCACCATTCATTCATTAGTTGAAGGACATTTAACTTGTTTGCCTTCTGTAGTGATTGTTAATAGACATCAATTACCATGGGTGAGCAATGAGTAGGATGTCAGGTCCTTTGAGCATGTGCCAAGGAGTGGTACAGCTGGCCCATTTGCTAGATTTAAATTGAGGTTTTGTATATTTAATTTTAAATTCTCTGTATTGATTTTCAGAGTGGCTAGAATTTTTGTTCATAGGCTTTTATCTCCTATGGTTTTGATTTTAATCTTGTTGCTTGTAAGCAGAAGTTCCCCTGTTCCTCACACTGTTAAATAATTACTCAGAGGCTTATATTAATTGTAAATGCTCAACCAATAGCTCAGGCTTACTACTAACCAGCTCTTACACTTTACCTCAATTCTAGGAAGTTCATATACTTCCTTGAAGCTCACGGCCTTTACCTGTATTCCATTTTGTGTATCTGACACTTTCTCCATCTGGCTGGCAACACTCTTAACTTTGTCCTTCTTTTTCTCAGCATCCTCAGTTTGATTTTTTCAACCTAGCCTTATCTTGTCTAGCTATTAGCCAGTCAGCTTCTTTGTTTAAAAAAAATTACAGCAACAAATCTTCACAGTGTACAAAAGGATTTTCCACAGCAATTGCCAGTTGAGTTATAAGGAGTATTGTTTCTTTACTATAAGAATTTGTGGTTTACTATCTTGCACATGGATGATTCCTTCCCATTTCTCCTCTACTTATCAGTTCTTCCTGTGAAATGTATTACTTCCCATATTCTCATGGATAATTCCTCTGATTTTCTCTGTATATTTTTCCTTTAGTTTATTATTAGAGATTATTTTTCTGATTGCAACAATATGGTTGATGATTATTTTCCCTCCAGGCTTAACTATATTTCTGTGTTCTCTTGTCTTTGGAATCATTTATTAGACACCTGGTAGTGTTCTGTTTGTTAGCTCTTTTCATGTGTTTTGACATTTTTCTTTAACAGCTTTCAGTATTAACTTTTGCATTTTCTTATATGAAAGGGCAACAAGCCATCTATTCTTTGTTCCTGAAAGAAAAACTCAAAGAAGAGAAACAGAAAGAAATGGCTGATTCTCCAGTTAATCTGTCCCAGGTCAGTCATCATGTCCACTATTTTTTCTGGAAATTTTATATTTTGAGACATTGAAAGACTTTAATTTTCTGCTTCTGATTTTTTTAACTTTTTTATAAAAATTTTTTCAAACAAACACACAACAAAAAAACCCATACACTGAACTTAGCCAGACCCCAAAGCTATACAACGTAAGGTAATTCTATACAGTTAGAGTTGTCGTCTTTGGGAACAGAAACTCTAGAGCCTCATATGAGATTTTATATTTTCACAAAATTTATAATATATTTTGTTTTAATTATACAGTACCAAAACCCAAAGACAAAATTAGACCCGGAAAAGCACTTAGCTTTATATTTTTTTTCATAACTGGTGTTCATTACCTCAACTCCTGATAGTTAGCCTTTCTTGTTCTCTTTTCTCCATGCTCTGCTGTACCCACATGTACGTTGTCTCCCCAATACATATATTATTTGTTGATTTTTCTAATGAGGCAAAATGTGGTTTCTTTTTTCTGACTTCTATGACCTTACTATTACATTCTTTTTTTTTTGATTTTTTTTTACTATTACATTCTTAATCCAAACATTATCCTGTAAATTTTTTTACGCTTTTCTCTTCAGCTGTATAGTATTCCATTATATATATGTGTGTGTGTGTGTGTGTGTGTGTGTGTGTGTGTGTGTATACATATATATATACATATATATGTATATATATAAATAAATGTACTGTTTTCATTATCCATTGATCTGTTGGAAGACAATTAGGTTGATTTCAATTCTTTGTTTTCATGAATAAGCAGCAATAAATGTGGGTATAAATATCTCAGTAATGGGATGTGGAATTCCCTGGATATATGCCCAGGAGTAAAAGAGCTGTTCAAACATTAGATCTTTCTTTAATTTTTTTCATTAATCTCTAAATTGTTATCCACGATTTCTGTATTAACTTGCACCACACACACACACACACACACACACACACAGCACAATGACAGTCTATTAGGGTTCCTTTCTTTCCTCATTCTCTCTAACATTTATTGTCGGATTGGTTGATGACAGCCATTCTGGCCAGAGTGAGGCAGTATTCCAAAGTAGTTTTAGTTTGCATTTCCGTGACAGCATCTTAGGGATCCTGAACACTTTGCAACATTTATTGGCCATGTGTGTTTCTTTTTTCACAAAATGCTTATTCAGATCATATGGCCATATATTGATTGGCAGTTTTATATCCTTGGAATTTAATTTCTGTAATTCTTGGTAAATTCTAGCAATGAACTTATATCCAAAGTGTCACTGGTACAGATTTTCTCCCACTCTGTGGGTGTCTGTGTGCTCTACTGAGTGTTTCCTTTGATTATCAGAATGATTTTATTTTTATGTAGTCCCATCTGTTGATACTTGGTTAGTTCCAGTTCTGTTTGTGTTTTTTACTATTCAGAAAGTTCTTGCTTATCCCATATCCTGAGGATGTTTCCTGTGTTCCTTAGATTTCTGTGCTTCTCATATTAAATACGGGTTTTGAATCATTGTAGCATGATCAACATGAAAAGCATTTAAAATCACATTTCCTCGTCACAGATTTTCCTTCTGAGACATGCACACTGTGATTTGTGGAATATAAACATGGCATCCATAACAAGTAGTTAACCTTGTCCACACCTTCTTTCATGTATATTGCGTGTGAGACTACAGTGTCATCCTATTGTCTGAGAGTTGGAATATTCCTTATAGAATGTGATTATTTAGAAGTCATCTTTTTGAGTAATTGTCTTCACTCATCTACATTTCTTCACATCTCCTTATATCAAGGAAACACTCTGTTCAGTATCACATGATCAAACTATACTTTTTTCTTTCAGGGTCTGTTTACATTCTGGGATATAGCTGTGGACTTCACTCAAGAAGAGTGGGAGTGTCTGAACTCTGCTCAGAGGACTTTGTACATTGATGTGATGTTGGAGAATTACAGCAACCTGGTCTCTCTGGGTGAGAAATTTGACTTGTAGATTTCCTAATTCATCCTTTGTATGTAACAACTTTATAGGTTATGGACTCTCTGTTAAAGCTGTCATGGAAATTGATAGGGGACTATGGAAACTTTGGTAGTAGATGAAAACTTTTTCATGATACTTCATTTTTTTCCTTTCATTTTAGAGGTTTCTGTTTTCCACTTAGAGGTATCATACACCCCTCATTTTTTTCCCATGATACATTCAGAAACTTAGTAGAATATAATATTTGTATGCATATCTTCTTTTTCATTTATTTCCTTTTATTGAAATAGATTCTTTTCTCATCCAGTATATCCTGATTATATTTTCCCCTCCCTCTAATTCTCCCATATCCCTTCCTCTCAATATCCCCTCCATTTCTTTCTCTCTTTAGAAAAGAGTAGTTTTTAAAGAGATAACAACCAAGCATGGCAAAATAAAATATAAGATGAAACAAAAACCATCATTTGAAGTTCGACAAGGTATCCCAGCAGAAGAAGGAGAGTCCTTAGAACAGACAGAAACATCAGAAACCCATTCTTTCTCACACTCCGGAGTCCCATGATAAGACTAAGCTTAAGCTATAATACATATGCAGAGGGCCTGGTGCAGATCCATTTAGGCCTTGTGCCTTCTGCTACTGTCTCTGTGAGTTCACTTCACTTAGCTAGTTAGTTCAGAGGGCCTTGTTCTTTTCTTGTCCTCTATCCCTTTGGGCTCTTAGATTCCTTTCACCTCCTCTTGTGCCTGGTTCTCTGAGCTGTGAGGAGAAGGGATTTGATGGAGACTTCCCATGTCGACTCTCTCTCCACATGTTGTCTGCCTGTGTATCTCTGCTGTTTTTGATAATGTTTTTTCTTTTCTTTTAATTCTTTTTTTTGCTTTGCTTTGTTTTTGTTTTTTTCAAGACAGGTACTTTTTTTTCTTTTTACAGCAGTAGTTTTTGGTTTTACCCTTGTTCTTTGGTCTGTCTAGGTCTTTGGTCCTTGGTTACCCAAGCAGTGTTGTCTGTAGGTTCCATCAGATTAGGCCATAAGTAAGACCAGACGTTAGTTGGATATTCCTTCAATTTCTGTTCCACCACTACCCTAACATATTTTCTAGATGGGACAGATTGTAGATAACAGGATTTTGGCCTTTTTCCATCTATAACTTAAGCTTAATGTCCATCATTGCATTTGACATCATTTTAATTTTGAAAAAAACTCAAAGTATGCAAACTGAAAAGTCTCCCGTAATATGTTTAGAAAATGTACAGGAAATAGCAATTGAAAATTCATTCCTATATTCCTCTACTTTGTGTTCTCTTCATGTACTGGACCCAGTACTTGGTTACATGTCTTTATTCTTTCTAAAAACTCTGGGCTACTTCACAGAATATGTGGACTATATGCAAGGTAAGCCTGGTCACCTATTCAGAGCAAATGAGATAGCCCTGGAATGTGGGGAGGAGAGAGTAGCCACAACAGAGTGGGCTAGTGAATGAGTAGAACAACAGTGATGGCTTCCAGTGAAAGAGAAATCAAGAGCTGAAAATGGTTTTGCTATACTTAATTCCACTTAAAAGGATTCCTGATCATTTGACTGAGTGTATTGTCCTGATTCAGGATGCATGCTGCCTGTTGTAACTGTTAGAAGATGTTGTGTTTTATTGCACCTGAATTTTGCTGACTTAATACTAGCACAAAATGCAATTTTATTTTATTACGCTGACATCGAATTAAAATAATTTTCCTAACTTTACGTCTAAAATGAGTCCATGGAATAGGATTACTCTGTAATTCCCTTCCTTGCTGTCTTTATATTGCATCCTTTATTTTCTTTCCACTGGAGAATACACAGACACTCTTCTGGGAAATAATCTCAAGAGTTGGTGTCCAGAGAGACTTGAAAATAGCCTTAACAGTAGCCTGAGAGTCCAGCTCCCAAGGCTACCTCCAGGGTTTGAGTCAGAAGGCCACAATGGAGTGGAAGGGACTTAGGATATTTATAATCTGAGGGGTAACAGAATGAACCCATACGGATGTTGTTTGAGTCATGTTCTTTACTCTTCTGTCCCCAGTTTGAAATCTCTGCAGTTTTTATACACATACAATGGCATTCTTTTCCAAGGCTGCAGCATTCTGTTAATAGGCTGTGTTCTTAGGGTCACAAAGCATTCTTTGCAGACAGAAAAGTTATACAAAGCAATAACTTGTCACCATTTTAATGACTGGCTGTGGCCCTGGCTGTAAAAAAATCTAGCTATCTCTTAAAGGGCAGAAAACTAAACCAAATAGAAATTTTAGGAGGAAACAAGGAATTTGTACACTCAAAGTTTGACTAAATTTGTAAGCTAAAAGTTTGTGATCAGTAAAACATACAAAAGCAAAACACCGTTATCTCCTGGCACAGAGAATGCAGTTGTGCTTCAGAAACTGTGTCAGTGAGTAACCATGGCAACTTGCATAAAGCAAGGAGGAAATGTACAATGATGATTCAGATCAGCATATCCACCAAATGTTAACTGGCAATAGAAATCCTTTCAGTTCTAAAACATACTTCTTCTACTCTGTTTGCTTAGAGCAAAGAAGGGACCTGTTTCTATTTCATACAAAATCTGGGACTTGACATCTCCCAGCCACTCCAGCCACCTGCATGTATTTCACACACTAATCAGTAACCGTGCACGAAGGCTATCTGTCTCTGAAGATGGTTAATCAGTGTACAACATCTTCTTGTAAATGATCCAGATCTCAGAACTAAAACATAATCAGTCTTCTAAGTTAAAATCTTGTATCAATAAACTGAGGTGAAAGTGTATACAAGGTGTTAATAGCCTTCAGGGTCAAAGCAGGGGAGTGCTACATTTTCTGTCATAGGAGGCAGAGTGAGTTCAGTACACTTCTTGTTCTTTTTAATATATGAAAGGCTTTGAGTTAACAAATCCAGGCTTGCGACAGTTCTGTCCTTGACTTTTATCTGTGAAAGTTGCATTTTCTTACAGGACACCTTGTCTGACCAAATTGTTCTGTCATTAAGATAATTATAAAGAACAGGCTTTTCAGTTTTTTAATCACAGTGTAGAGCAAAAACTTGGCTATGACTTATTTTATTTACCAGAAATACATTATGTGAGGAGAAATCATCCTTCTATCAGTACATAGAAATATTGGGCTCAACATATGAGAAATACACTGCTAAGCTTGTGGGATAAGTCCCCAAGCTGGAATTAAAGGGGGACCATGTTGTCACACAGAGAATTGCAGGTAGAGGCAGCCAGTTATTCAAAAGGCATTATTCCTCACAGGCCCTACCTTGTGAGTTTTATCCTCCAGCAAGTGTGTGTGTGTGTGTGTGTGGTAGGTTGGCCTCCTAATTATCAGTTGTGATATACTGTGTATTCTTTTGTACTCCATCCTAACCCTATGAGGAAATTTAAGAAACACTGCAGTGTTTGGAGCTCAGACAGTGGAAGATAGAAATTAGCAATAGCTGCCCATGACAGCCCTGCCTTAAACAATCTAGATCCTATAGTGTCTGGCAGAATAATTGCTTTGCATCTACAAATTTGGAGAATGTAAAGCATTTTTTAAGAAAAAAAAAGAAAATAAAACCTTTGATGCTTTTGAGTAAACCTTTAATCTTAAAATGAATTCTGACAGTACTCTTCATTGCTGTTCACTAGGAAGTATAAATACTGTGAATCTGGGATTAGATTAAGTTCTTTTTCACCAATATCTGAGGAAATAAATATTTAAAAAGAGATGTATTCTAATTATAATCAGTCACTGAGCTTCATTCCAACGACTAATTACTGATTCCTCTAGTATATGTTTCATCTTCTATGAAGGTCACTCTGTTTGTGAGAATCCATATAGTTATAGTGAAAGAATAAACTTAACTTATGGGAGCTCTATTCTAAATAGTTGCTGGTTGACTCATGAGAGAACTTAGAGAGTCTGTCATTTATCACATATTTATTATTGGAACAAGCCAATTAACCTGAATTTTACCCATTTTCAGAAAACTATTGCAAATGTGATCCAGTCTGTCAACATGTGAATAATGAAAAGGAGTCTCATCAGTGTAATGAGCTTGGCAACGTGCTTTATGACCCCTCCACATGTGCACTCTATAAAACACACAGAACTAGAGAAAACTCTAATAGCTACAGATGCAGTGATCACAGGGATGCCTCTGTTGACTCATCAAACCCTGATAGACATGAAAGCATGCACACTGGAAAAGAACCTTTCAAACCTAAAGACTGCAAGAAATCTTTAAATTTGGGTTCTATCATTATTCAAGATCACAGTCTCTACACTGCAAAGAAAGAACACAGACAGGGTGAATATGATGACTCTTTCTCTTCTGCATACAGTGTTTTGCAACAAACAATCTACATTGGAGGGACACCACACCAATGTTGGAAACGCGGGAAATGTGTCAGTACCACCTCAAGCCTCATCATACATCCGAGAATTTATACGGGAAAGAAACCCTACAAGTGCAACATTTGTGACAAATCCTATAAGCAGAGTGCAAGTCTTAAAACACATCAAAGACTTCATACTGGGGAGAAACCTTACAAATGCAAAGATTGTGGAAAGTCATTTCGCCTGTTGGTAGTACTTAAAAACCATCAGAATATGCATACTGGAGAGAAGCCTTACACATGTAAGGAATGTGACAAATCCTTTCCTGTGAAGTCAACTCTTACAAAGCATCAGAGAATTCATACTGGAAAGAAACCCTACAAGTGCAATGTTTGTGACAAATCTTTTAGTCAGTGTTCACATCTTAAAATACATCAAAGACTCCATACTGGGGAAAAACCTTACAAATGCAAAAATTGTGAAAAGGCGTTTCATGACTTATCAGCACTTAAAAGCCATCAGAAAATGTATACTGGAGAGAAGCCTCACAAATGTAAGGAATGTGACAAATCCTTTGCTCTAAAGTCAACTCTTACAAAGCATCAGAGAATTCATACTGGAGAGAAACCCTACAAATGCAACATTTGTGACAAATCTTTTACTCAGTGCTCAAGTCTGAAAACACATCAAAGACTCCATACTGGAGAGAAACCTTACAAATGCAGAGAATGTGGAAAGTCCTTTCCTCAGTCCTCAGCACTTAAAAGCCATCAAAAAATGCATACAAACAAAAGGCATGCTGGAGAGTAACTTTACCAATTCAATGAGTGTCCTGTAACTACTATTCATTATTAGAAAGGCAGTAGAAAATTCATTTTCTAGATAAATTATACAAAGACAAAAAATGTTGTAAGTCCTTTCTCAAATTATCACATCTTAAAATGCATTACAGAATCCACACAGGTGAGAAACCATAGAATGGTGACTATGTGACAAATGCTTCACTATGACCTCTACTCTTAGAACACATCAGAAAATTCATACTGGAGAGAAATCTTACAAATATAAAGAATGTGACAAATTTTTTTCTAAGTGTTCAGGTCTTCAAACACATTAGAAAATTAATACTGGACAGAAACTTTACAAATGGCAAGGACTGACAAATTTTTCATCCAGTATTCAAATCTTAGAATATATTATAGAGTTCATAATGGAGATAGAATTGCATATGTAAAGAATGTGAATTTTGTACTAAATGCTCAACTCTTCGAGCACATCAGAAAAATACTGGAGAGAAAAATGCCATTGTGAATAATGTGATGTAGCACTTATCCGGTACTCTCTGCTTATAAATCACAACAGTATACACAATAGAAGCATAAAGATAGGAAATTTTTGAAAGCTTTGAGGTTTATATATTAGAAAAATATCAAAAGTCAAAAAACACCAACGATAGCCTATGCTGGAGAGGATGTGGGGTGAGGGGAACACTCATCCATTGTTGGTGGGAATGCAAACTCGTGCAGCCACTGTGGAAATCAGTGTGGCGGTTTCTCAGGAAACTGGGAGTCAACCTCCCTCAGGACCCAGCAATACCACTCTTGGGAATATACCCTAAAGATTCCCTAACATACTACAAAAGCATTTGTTCAACTATGTTCATAGCTGCACTATTTGTAATAGCCAGATCATGAAAAATATCAAAGAGTTTATATTACAATAAAATTCTGCAAATCAAACTGAAAGGCTTTTTAAAAAATGTATATAGGAATTTTGACTGCATGTATGTTTGTGTACTACATGTATGCATTCTGCCTGTAGAGGCCAAAATAGTATCAGATCCACAAATCTGGAGGTATAGGCAGTTGTAAGCTGCTACCTGTTTGTGTGCTGGAAATAGAACCCTGATTCTCTGAAAGAGGAGCCAGAGCTCTCAGCCATTAAGCCATTTCTCAAGCCCCTGAGAAAAGCTATAATAAAACATCTTGTTCAGCCTCTACAAATTCATAATGTTTCCTATCATGTTGTGCTCACCTTCAATCCCAATACTTCAGACACCGAGGCAGGGGTATTTGTGCGAGTTCAAGACCAGCCTGGTCTTCATAGTAGATCAGAACAGGCAGAACTGTATAAACTCTGTATACAAAAACAATAATGACAAAAATGTATCAAAAAATTGTGACAAAAACCTTGATTTTTTTCCTCTAATTTTTCTGTGTATTAGTAAATTTATGCTTCTGACAAACCTTATAAAGGTACATTATATATAAGCCCCATTTCTTGCTGTTCATTGGAAGTTTCACCCCCAAATACATTCAGTTTTGACAAATTCTTTGTCTAGTAAACATGAAATTCATACTGAAAGGAAACAAAAAAATGCTCCAATACTAATCTTTTATCTACCCTCAAATATCTTCATCTTAGGTTTATACTAATACAAATGGGGAGAAATTGAGAAACTGTAAAGAATTGGACTGTGAGTTTGACAACACTTACAGTTTATAAATCTCCAGGTCAGGGCTGGAGATATGGTCTGTAGGACCCTGATTTGATTCACAGCACCTGCCCAGTAGTTCACAACTGTATGTACCTCTAGGACAAGGGTATCTGACACCTTCTGGATTCTGTAGGCACTGTATGCACATACTGCATGGACGTACATGCAGGCAAAACATTCATACATAAAAAATTGATTAAAAAAGAAATCCATTTCCAAGGTTGCAAGGCTTAGTAGACTACGGCTTTAACCCTTGGTCGTTGGAAGTAGAGACAGGTTGATCTCTGGGAAATTAAGGCCATCTTAGTCTACAAGCAAATACCAAGACACCCAGTGTTACACAAAGACATCCTGTTTCAAACAAAGAAAGCTCTGAAGGCATTCGGAAATTACTTTTGAAGTGCTGAAGAAAAATGGGGAGTATTTATTCTGTCTTAGAGTTTCTATTGCTCTAAGAGACACCATGACCACCGCAACTCTTACAAAGGAAAACATTTAATTGGGACTGTCGTATAATTTCAGAGATTTAGTTCATTATCATCATAATGGGACATGGCAGCATACAGGAAGACATGGTGCTGGAGAATGAGCTGAGAGTGGAGGAGTTACACCTTGATTTTTAGGCAATAGGAAGTAGTCTGAGCATCATGCTGAGCTAAGCTTGAGCAAAACAGACCTCAAAGCCTGCCCCCACAATGACACACTCCATTTGGGGGCTATTTTCTTTCAAACCATATATTCTAAACTCTAAAATAATATACCTACTCTTAACCTTTTCTTTCAAACCACATATTCTAAACTCTATAATAATATACCTACGCTTAACCTTAGTAGACCTTCACTGAGGAAAAGGAGACTCCTGTGACCCTCTTCAACCATAAAGAAATGGTAATTGTCCCAAACTTGCACAGTTGCTCGTTTTCAGTACTTTTTGAACAGCTATTTCAACTGTGCATCATGCACTACTATTGGTGAATGAATTCACCAATGAGAGTAGTACAAACTGATAGTTGTAATCATATATATTTTTGATGGCAGATTAATGACATGATCATTAACAAAACATCAATAGACTCTGCCCTTGGACCTGTAATTCCCAAGCCATGATTTTGTTTGTTTCTTTGTTTGTTTTACCATATTTACAGTACCAGGCATGAATTCACTTCTGGTGGAACTGGGGTCAATTCTATCAAGAAACAGGTTGGTCATTCCCATAAGAAGTCATGCCAGAATTGCACAAGTGTACACATCTTGCCTAGGTTTGCATTATTGAGACCTGTTACAGGGAGCGGGGCCCCTTGTTCCTGCCACCCAGCTAGCTTATACCTGAAATAATCACACTGCTTGCCCATTAGCTCTAGCCTATTGGCTATCTCTCACATCTTGATTTAACCCATTTCTATTAATCTGTGTTAACCACAAGGTAGTGGCTTACCGGGAAAGATTTAGCATGTCTGACCTGGCATCTTCATGGCAGCTCTCTCTCTGATTTCTTCCTCCCAGAAGTCAGTTCTGTCTTCGCCTCCCTAAGTTCTGCCCTATGAGGCCAAGCAGTTTCTTTATTGATTAACCAATGAAAGCAACACATAATAAACAGAAGGACCTCCTACACCAAAGATCATTGACATTCTTTCTACCGGGTACATGTATAGATCCTTGTAGTATTTAAAAGCTAACTGGCAGGGAAAGTTCTCTGGTAAATTCAAGATTACTCTCTATCTTGTAAACAAAGTGTTTTGTGTCTTCAACAATGCCATGTACTTATGGTGGCCAAGGAAGAGCAGTGGGAATGAAGACTTGTTTTGGTTGGTGTGCCTCTGGTGTTTCCATTCCAGCAATTTTTAGGTAGATAACCAATACCTGGTAGACTACATTTCAATTAATAACTCTGGTATCTGTTAGCAGCATTATTTACCTACTGTGGAATACCACTGTTCACAGTTTTAAAAATTACATTTCCTTTTAACTTGTAAGACAATGTAGTTTTATAAGGCTTCCTCATACACCTTTTATTTTTGTTAAGCCACCCACTATTCTTTGTTTTTGCCCCTTCCCCAGTTAAATGTCTAGTACACATTATCCAATGATAGGTGTTCTCCTATCCTCTCATATTTTTTCTTTGCAAAATGATAGATTCCCATCTAACTTTGTAGGAACATCCCATTTTAGTTGATAATTCTGCAGCACTCACTCATCTACAACACTACTGGGTAGTTTGAATGTAGTTGACCCCCATAACTGTTAGTGACACAGAGGTGTGGCTTTGTTGGAGTAGGTGTTATCCTGTTGAAGGAAGAATGTCACTAGAGTTGGGCTGTGAGGTCTCATATGCTCAAGATACCATCCAGTGTCAGAGTCCACCTCCTGTTGCCTTCTGATGAAGACGTAGCCAGCACTTTATTTGCCTGCACACTGCCATGCTCCCCACCAAAATAATAATGGACTAAACCTCTGAATTGTATGTCAGTTACCCCAATTAAATGTTTTCTTTGTAAGAGCTGTTATGGTCATGGTGTCTCTTCAAGGCAATAGAAACCGGAACTAAGACAAACTGCAATGCATATTTAAACTGTTTTATCCCCATGACTCCCACTGTCTAATTTCATATAACCTGTATTCTTCTATGTAACCTGTCTTCCTGCATCTACACTACTGGTCCACTTCTAGATTCTTGTCTTCTATATGTAGTCTTGCTAGATTGCAAAAAAAAAAAAAAATTGAAGCCAGGACACAAAGTTTTGCTTATCCATGTGTCAGTTGATGGGCATCTAAGGTGATTCCATTTCCTATATACTGTCAATAAAGTAACAATGAACATTATAGGCAAGTGCTCATTGATGAGGTGGCAAGTTCCCGGAGTTTATGCTCAGGGATGGTTATTGTGTTATCAATTAACTTTTTGATTAAACCCTTCCATTTTGGAGGAAGCTCCTTAAAGCAGGGTATTAGAAGGAAAGGAATAGGATGCTCTAACACAGTGTTTCTCAAGCTTCCTAATGTAACCCTTTAATACAGTTCCTCATGGTGATGCTCAACCATAAAATTATTTTGTTGTTCCTTCAAAACTGTAATTTTGCTACTGTTATTAATTTTAATGCAAACATCTGATAAACCGGATATCTGATATGGAACCCCAAAGGGATCATGATTTAAGGGTTGAGTGAGTGTCCTGGCTTAAAGGGGAGGTGAAATACTTCATCCTGTAGAAAACCTCCTGAAACTGAGAAATAGGCAACTTTATACCTTCATGACATGGTCACATAAACTGGCAAGACTTACTAGTGCCCCCCTGCCTCAAGCATACGTGATGAGGAAGGACTGCTGACACTGTGAGACAGCTGAGCTGCACAGAAGGTACTTAGACTAGACACCAGGCAGACACCAGTCAAGCTGCCTAGACAAGACAAGATACTTGGAGGTAGTAAGTGGCTTGCTAGACACTTCCAACCTCCCTTGAGCTGCTTGGAACCTTTCTCCTCTCACTTTCCTCCCACCAGTGCTTCCATATACCCTCCCTGCTCTCTTAAATCCATTACTTCTTTATTAATTGTTATTGCATACATATATGCCTATGTATATAAATATATATTCCTAAATAAACTACTAAATCCATCCAGCATATGTACTTGTAAATATGTTTAGAAAATTGGCCATTTGGTATTGAATAACCAGTAGGTGTGCTCTTTGCTGGTTGAGAATATTCCTCCTGCTACCACCATTCCTCAGTTGCCTGTAGTTCTCTATGTACAGTTGTGGCCTTGTAGACTTTTCCCTATCCACTTTGGTAT